ATAGCAAATGCCTGAGGTGTGAGGCACCTTTGGAGTCCAGTGTAACGAGAGCACTGGGGATACAGGGAGGGAAGGGGCCTGGCATCTCCACACTGCCCACGGGGCCACACACAGTGCATGGGGCTGGAGCACCCATTGGGGAGCCACATGGCTGCCCCAGAAGCTGGGCTCTGCTACCACCTTGCTGCAGGAGCAGGTCACCACCAGCCTGGAGCAGGTCACCTCACCCTGGGGCAGCTGTGTCCTCACGTACAGAGGAGGGCAGCAGCGTACCCACCTCAGAGAGTTCATAGGGGTAAATGCAGAGCTCCCCTGCAGGTGTTGACACCCCAGTCTGTGCTGAGTGGGGGAGAAAGGTGGCTATGCTGGTTGGTGCTTGCCCTATGTCCAGTCCAGCACACCCCGATAGCTGCACCTGGGCTTTCTCTGGAGAAGCCACCTCTCCAGTGCCACCTGGCTCTGGAGAGGTCCCTGATCCTAGCTCAGCCAGCTGCCAGGTTCCACCCATGGCCACAGTGACTGGTTTGAGGGGGCCACATGGTCCAGCCCAGTTCACTGATCCTCCTTTTTGGGAACTTCCCTGAACATATGGGCAAGGTGAGTCTGGAGCTGCTGAGGTCACTGTGTACAAAGGAGCAGAATGGGTATGAACTAGGCCAGTGACCAGCACGGCTCACAGAGAGAGAGAGATGCCAGGACCTGGCAGCCATGCCCTGCTCAAGATCCTCGTCTCTGACTTGCTGCTCACCTGAGCCAATAGGTGCCTCCTGGGGTCTCACCTCAGGCCTCTGTCACTTGCAACCGGCAGCACCTGACTGACTTGAGACCCAGAGCGTGTTGCTAGGCGGAGGGTGTGTGGGGCCACGCAGCCCTCACTTTGGAGTGACTGCACTAAGCTGAGCCCTTGTGCTTGGTGAGGATCCGGTGAAACTCTGGGCCTTGGAGCTGCAGGGCAGGGTCTTTGACCACCCCCCCGGCATCATGTTGTCTCTGGCTCTGCAGCAGTCTCCTCATGTCCATGCTGCCCCCAGCACCCTTCCCTGGCCAGAGTGGGTCCCTGGCATGTGACAGCAGCTATATCTGGCCCAACATCTACCATCAGTGGTGCCCTGTAGACTTGGGCTCCCAGCAAGGTAGGGATGAGCCGAGATGACCACAGCACTGCACACTCGGCCTGGCACAGGGCATATAATAGTCAGTGGCCATCACAGAGCCCCCAGGGAGCATCTACTCTGTGCCAGGCAACAAGCACAGCAGGGAGGATGAGGGACCAAGTAGTGACCATGGAGTGATGGCACAGAAGGTCTGAGGCAGGGCCTCCAGGGTTCTCCAGGTGGAAAATGGGTGAACTTGGTGTGCAAGGGGACAGGGAGGCCAGGGTGTGTGTGTAGAGGGGAGAGGTGGGAGAAGCGTGTGTCTGCTTGCATATGAGTGTGTGTGCACTGTGCATGTGTCTGAGCTGGGGTCCCCACTTCACCCTCTCTGCAATGCAGCATGGAGGGCAGAGGGGCAGGTGTGGGTGAGAGTTTCCCAAATATGGAAACCTGTGTACTGGGTTAGGCATATTTGGGAGTGATGTGGTTCTCATGGGGGTCCAGGGACAGGTGGGGGTCTGGATGCCCCCAGCTCGGAGTGTGGTTTCCAGGGATCAGTGGGTTATCTCTAGCCCTTCTCACCTAGGCTGTGGGACTGCCTCAAGGAGGGAAGAAGCCCCACAAGCGTTTTCACAGGGGCTTATGGCCAGCCACGCAGAAATGGGCCCTAAAGCTTCTCCGGTATGCAGAGCATAGGATGGGACAGAAAGAACCTTCACCTCACACCCCCTGAAATGGAGCCACGTCCCTAGAAATCACTGCACCCTGCCCACGGCATGCTGTTCAACCACCAAAGGAAACCCCAAGGGACAAGCCCCAGCGGCTGCTGACTCATTTCCCCTCTGTTTGATGTGGGCTCAGGGGCCCCAAAGCCACAGACCCAGCTCCAGTCTCAGCTCTGCTGAGGTAGTACCTCAAACTTCACTGCACTTGCAGTCCCTTCCTGGGGGTCAGCATCAGGACCCAGGGTGGCCAAGACCGCAGAGCTAACCAGAGGGTGGGTGCCACTTGGACAAAAGCACCCGCGGGCTCAGAAGCCACAGCCCCCAGCTCAGCGGCAGCACAGTCATCGCGGTGCTCCCCATGACGCTGCCTACCCAGGTCTTGTCCCACCTCCCTGTGAGTTGTAGCATTTTCCTTACTGATTCTTGGGAGTTTTAAAATATATTTTGGATACGCATCTTTTGCCAGTCTGGGGGACAGGGAGGGCACCAGGGTAGCCATGTTGTCTGTGAGACATCTTTTCCAAGATCTTGGCCTGTCTCATTATTTTCTCTCTTGTAACTTTTAATGCACAAAATTAACTAATTTTAATGTAGTCAGATTGACCCGTATTTCCCTTTATTTATTTTTTAATATCTTATTTAAGAAATCCTTCCCTAGCTCAAGGTTATAAAGCTAGTCTGTTTTGCTATCTAAAGTCTTACAGGTTTCCTTGTGGTGCTTGACCTTATGGTCCACCTAGATTGGCTGGCTGTGTACAGTGTGAGGTAGGATTTCCCCCGGGCTTTAATGAAAGGGTTATGTAATCAGATTCTCATTTCAAAAACCAAAGTTGCTGCAGCTGCCGTCTGAGGAGTGACAGGTGTCATCAATAGGTAGACAGGAGGTTCTGCTTCCAGAGAAGCCAGAGTGAGAATGGAAGGAAGCAGAGAATTCCAGCAGGAATTTTCAGGAAGAATCCATGAGGCTAGGGAAGACAGGGCAGGGGTAAGTGGGGGCACAGAGTTCCTGGCTGAGCAACCTTGAGATGCGGTACACTCTGCAGAAATGGAGAAGAATGAACGGGGTGGCACCAAGGTAACTGTGGGCTTGGTTCTGGCCAGTCTAGCTGCTCCCGAGCTTTCCCAGAAGACAGCTGGAGATGGGGGCTGGACCTCAGAGTGGAGGCCTGGGCTCTCCTGGGGACTCTTGACACAGAGCAAGAAGCACCTTGAGGACGGCCTGCCTTGGCAGCTCCTTGGAGGACAGGCTGGAAAAGGCCCTGGGATAGCCCTGGCACTGGTGACAGAGGTGACATCTGGATGAGCATCTTCCGAGGCTAGCTGTGGTGTCTGCACTGTCTCTTCACTGTAGCTCTACATCCTTTTATGTCCATTTCATGGATGGGGAAGGCGAGGCTCAGAGAGCAGACAAGACTTGCTGATGGAGCTGCATGGCTGCGATGTGTGTGTCCTGCAGCCCATGAGGAAGGAGGGCTCTCTAGTCGTGTGTGTGTGTGTGTGTGTGTGTGTGTGTGTGTGTGTGGCCAGCAGTGGGTTGGGACCACAGGCTCTGGAGTTGCTCTCCAGCACTGCCACCTGCCCGCTGGGAACATGGGCACATCTCCAACTTCAGTGCACAGGATTGTAAAGGGTAGTAGAGCCTTGTGCAGAGTCAGCACTATTAATGTTTGTTAAATAAAATGGCAAATACACCTTTTAAAAAGATGTGTGCGTCTCATTCTGGGACAAGCACATTAAAACTGCGATGAACCAGTTCATACCACTAGATTGGCAAAAACTGAAAGCAAAAGTGTTGGTGGGGACATGGGGCAGCAGGGCGTGTGAGCTGGGAAACTCATTCTGCAGCATCCACCAAAGCTGGACATACTCAGCTCCAGGCCCTGCAACACCCTGGCCTAACAGCCTCCCTCAAGAGGCACATGCAGCCCACCAGAGCTCAGCCATCATGGCCCATGGTGCGGACAGTCCCATGCCCATCAGCAGAGAGTGGACGGTCAGTAGTGCGAGGTGGTGCACCGCCCGCGAGCAGCCACACCTCCCACGGGCAGAGACAGGAGACGGCTGTGACCCTGTTTCTGTAATGGTCAACACCAAGCCCCTCAGGGCCACAGATACACGCGGTCACACCTAAGGAAAGGCCAGGGAAAGGGTAACATGGAATCGAGAGTCCTCGCTGCTTCTAGGGAAGGAGGAGAGGGATGAGACAGGCCGGGAGCCTTTGGTCATGTCTTGAGTCCCTTTTCTCTAAGCTGTGGGAGGCGGGGAGGGTTCCTCCTATGCGCTGTGATGCGAGGCACCAGGCTCTCTCCCGGCGCTGGCCTCCTCCAACAGTCGTGCTCCCGGGCTCTTCCTGTCCAGTCATGACTTGCCTCTGTTGCCAGTCTCACCGTGGCCTGGCTGCTTCCACCCTGGGGTGGCTCTCAGGATCCGCAGGACCGATGCCTGGGCACAGTCGCAGAGCCACTGGTGTCTGGGGGCTTGGGATGCTGGTGGGGCAGCACCGGCCCACGCCCTCCAGCCCCCGCAGCTCCAGGCACCGCGCACCAGGCCCGCCGCGGGACAGATGGACTTGAGTCCCGCCACGCCCCTGCCTTGGCCCCTGGGCTGGGACTGGCGGTGACCAGGGCATTTAACGCGCCGTCCAGCCTCGGGCCGCAGGGGGCCAGGAGCTCCCGCCCCACCTAATGGACAGGGCGCCCAGGGCCCAGGACCTCAGTTTACCCTCCCGTGAACGCAGGCTGTGCTCCTAGAACCGGTACACTGAGGCCATGCCCTGTTCCAGGAGACTAGGTTTTCCGCCAGCCTGGGGGTTCCCAGGACACCCCTCGGGCGCCCTGCGATTTAAGGCAGGCGGCAGCATCGCCCTTTGAAGGGCCGCGGTGGGCCCTGGCGGGCGAGCTGCGCGGGGCAGAGCGCCCTCTGGAGGCCGCCTCCAGCCCCGCCCCCCGGCCCGCGCCGGTCCCGCCCCCAGTCTGGAGGCGGCGCATGCGCACAGCGCAACGCTCCGCGGGCGGCGAGAGCGAGGCCGGTCCGCAGCCGCGCGGCGCTCGGCGCCCCATTCATGCTGGGCGTCCGCGGCGCGGCCACGCAGCGGAGCCCGGGCGCGGTGGCGGCCTGGGCGGCCTGCTCGGCTTCGGCGGCCCCGAGGCAGGGCGGGCGGCGGCGGCGCGGGCAACTGGGCGCGGTGATGGCCGGCGGTGGGGCGCGCCCCGGGGCAGCCGGTGAGTAGGGGCGCAACTTTCCCCGGGGCGCGGCGCGGGACGGGTGGGTGGGGAGCAGGCCGGGTCGGACGAGCGTCCCGGGGCCGGGGTTGCCCAGGGGACAGGCGCCGGGCCGTGCTCTGGGGGCCGCCCTTCGCGTGTGGCTGGACGGGCAGGGGGTGTGCGCGGGGGACTGCGGCGCGCGTGTCCGTGTCCGCGTGTCTCTGCAGCTCCGGCCTGGACGCCCGCGTGTGTCTGGGCGCGGACGCGGCGGCGACGCTGAGCTACCGCATCCCGGTTATGCCGCTATTGGAGAGCGGCCCCGGGCCCAGCGCCGCGGCCTCTCCCCGCCCTCCCAGCCGGGCCCGCCGAGCTCTACCGGGCAGCGCTCCTGGGCCGCGCCATGGGGGCGGGCGCTGCCCCCTCTTCAAAGGCAGGAGAGAAAGTTTGCGGCAGCCCCACCTGGAGGGCCCTGCGGGTACCCAGGCCGAGCCCGGTCACTGGATGGCGGGGCTCCGACCTCTGGCCGCCAGCGAGGTCCGGGATGGGCAGGCCCGGGCAGCGTTCCGCAGCCGCCTGGGCAGGGCTGCTAGAGTCGGGAGGAGGTCGTGGGGGCTGCCCCTCGGCCGGCCCTTGGGCTCTGGGGTGGAAGTTGGAGCCGCTTCCTGAGAACCACCGCCTCCCTCGTCCTTTCTGGCCCGGGGTGCTGGGAGATGGGCGCTGGGTCCAGCTTGGGCCGCAGGGCCGCCTCCAGGCTGGGAGGGAGCGGTACGGGTGCCGCCCGGAGGCCGCCCCGCTCGGGCCTCTTCGGCCTCCCCCTCTCAGGGCCTCTTCAGGGTCAGCCCGCTTCCTTCGGAGGCTTCCGATTGCTTCCTGGACAGTCCCGGGCCTGGTGCGCGACATAGCTGGAGGCGGCGGGCTGATTGGGGACTGCCTCCGGGAATGGAAATGGGACTGCCAGGAGGCTCTTCTGCCAGCTGTGGGGTCCCAGGTGCAACCCTGAACGGGGAGGGAGCACAAGGGGTACTTGAGGAGCTTCTTATAGCGAGGAGCTGCCCCAGGCTCGTTTGTGGGGTGCTGGGGCCACGCCCCTTGAAAGAAAGGGGTGTGTGTGTAGGGGGAGGGGACGTGGCCAAGCCTCTGCCCTGTCAGCCAGCTCCTGCGCTGGGCTGCCAGTGCAGCCCACCTCTGCTCACGTTCAGGCTGTGCGGGGGCGGGGCTCGCCTTTACTGCCCTGGCCCTTGAAGTGCAGAGCCCATGCCCCCGGCTCCTTGCCGGTTTGGAGGTGTGCAAGAGAGGCCAGGTGCTGCACCTGGTGCAGGGAGACTGCCCAGCCTCATTCAAGACGCACACACACACCGGAGATGGCGCTTTCCGGCCAGGCTTCCAGTCTTGGAGGTGGCACCGTGGGGCCCAGGAAGGGCATTTCGGGCAGAGCAGACAGCATGGGCGGAGGCCTGGGTTTGTGGAAGAGGCCGGGAAGCCCCTGTGCGGCCAAGGCATATGCTCTGGAGTGGGAGACACATGAAATTTCTGTGGACAAAGCAGAACTGCCCCCTCAGATCGTTGCACGCATGTTTTGAGTCCCCAGGAAGATCCCCATGCTTGCAGCAGCTTAGAGCAGCGGTCTGGGAAAGGAAGGTACATGTAGGGTACTGCTTCTGAGCAGCAGGACCCCATGCTGGAGGGGAACAGAGCTACTTGGGATCAGCACCTGGGGACCTCCCCTGGGGGGAGGTCAAGTGACAAGGGCAGCCCTCTTTCCTGGTTGCTAAGGGGGAACCACTGGGCAGCAGGTAGTGTGTTCCCTGCTGCCGACATCCCAACCTGCCTGAGCTTCAAAAGGATCTGAGCAGGAGGGCTGGTTGGGGAGTGGGCTCTTCCCCTGGGGGGGAGGGCTCTGAGGGCCTTTGTTTCTCACGGTAAGAAGGAGCTGTGGTGTCATTCAGCAAGGGGAGAGAGGAAGGGAACACTGCTATTTTGGTGTTCCATTCAGCGGCTAATCCCATCCTATCTAGGATGGAAGCCCCTGGGCCTGGGCCCCTGCCTGCCTGTTGCCTGGCCTCGCTCTCCCTGGCTAGCTCCATTCAGCACACCCAGCATCCCCTGTTCTCCTGACGCTCCAGCTCTGACTCGATGCACTTTCAGTGCTGGCAAGCTGCAGCCATTCTTGCTGCCCTCTGCATGACCAGCAGGTCCCCACCCCAGGCCTATGCTCTTTGCTGTTTGTCCCTGAGTGTCTGCCCTTCTGCAGCAGCTCCCAGTGTGTGGAGTCCTTCCCAGGCAGGTGGAACAGCCCCTGGGGAGCCTCCCCAGGCCCTCGGCTAGCTCTTCTCCTTCCTTAGAGAGCATAGCATCTGCCAGTGCCCCTCCCAGCCCCTTGTGGCCCCCAGGCCCCAGGCCCAGCACTGGAATAAATGCATTCATTCCTGGGCAGACCCAACACTACTGAAGTCGTGCCCCAGCAGGTTGTCTGGCACTTGGGTTGTGTAGAGATCGGGGCCCTGTGCTGCCAGGACTAACTGTGTGACCTTGGGTCTGTCTGAGCCCTATGTCTCTGAGGTAGAAGAAGTGACCCAGGCATCCTCAGCGTCCTTTGTTGAATGTGAGCATGAGGGACCCAGTTCTGAGCTTGGGCTACCCTCTTTCCTGGCTGGCAGCCCCATGTCCCTGGGTCTGTCCCTTCCCAGCAGCCTCTTTGTTGGGGGGTGGGGGGCAGGGGAGTGGGCCCAGGGCCAGCCTAGAGTTTGTATAGTGGCTTCTTCAGCCGGGTCCCTCCTGTTTAATATAAAAATTAGGGCCCATAATTGCATTAAGACGTGTATAATTATCCCAGAGGAGGGGAGAGCCCGGCCCCTGGTAATTGCAGGCCTGCTTTGAACTGATAAACGGTGAGTGATTCATGTTTTCTTTGGAGTTCACATGTACGCAGCTTTCAGCCCAGCCTTGCTGCCTCCTCAAGGAGCCTGTTCCCTGCTCCCCCTTCTGCCTTAGGCTCCTATTGGTAGGGATGGGTTTTCTCTCCTGCTGCCTATGTAATCCCCTTACTGCTCTTGGGGTGCTGTCCCACAGAAGTGGCTGACAGCCTGGGGGGGAGCCTTGAAGCCCTGCTCTGGGACCCCAGCCAAAGTTCTTCTCTCCCCAGAGCCTCGGTCTCTACCTAAGCAATGACTGTACACTGGGCACATAGGTGAGGGCTGGGGGAGAGGGGGAAGACAGAGCTTCTGTGCCCAGGCCTGGCTGGCCGCTGGTTTATTTGTTCACTCACTCATTCATTTGTGAGTATTCATTGAGCTCTTCTTGGTGTGGGCCTGGCTCTAGGGTATAGTATTTAGTCACATGGAACAGGCCTGTTATAGAGCTGCCCTTCTAAGGTGTATGTGGGGGAACTGTCAGTGAGTGCTGTGCCACAGGGAAACATCTCAACAGACACCTGAGCAGGTGAGAACACCCAGGGAGAAAGGGGAGGTGAGGCACAGGGGACACTGGGACCAAGGCCAGCTCCCTGCCAGACTTGGCAGAAGGCATCTATCTGTAGGCATCAGCTTCCTTGTCTGTAAAATGGGGCTGTCTGGCCACATGCAGGTCATTGTCTAGGGATGAGAAAGGTGTGTGCAGCCCTTGAGAAGCCCCCTGGCACATATGGCTGATCTAGGGGAGGGCTCCATTGGCACCAAGAGGATGGGGCTGTCATGGTTTGCCCTCTCACCCCCCTTTTATAGATGGGGAAAGGAACATGCCCCCACCAGGGCCACACAGCTACAGAGGGATAGGTCTGGATTTAACTCAGAGCTTGTCTGCCAGCTGCTTGGGCTGTGGACAGGTGAGGCAGTGAGGGGGACAGGGCAGGATTTGGATAGCATTGACCACATGTGCACGTCAGAGAAGTGGGGCAGGTTGCTGCCTGGTTTCCAGGTGGAAGCAGGTGGACAGGGCGAGTGCCCTGGTGACCCAGGGAGGAGGGGGTGGGCTATTTGGGGGACATTTGGAGGCAGAGATCATGGACCTGGGAAGTAGGGGTGAATGTTGTGGGACATGCCCAGGTGGTGCCAAGAGCATGGAGGAAGGGGGTAGGTTGGCATAAGTCTCAGGTTCCAATCAACTGTGGAATCTGGGTGGAGCAAGCTGCTGAGGCTGGAGAGGGAGGGTTGCTGCAGAGGACTGGGGTTCAGGAAGCCCTGACCCACGTCTGTTTGGAGGACTTCATCCAGCCTTGGAGTTGGTGTGAGGTGGGGGAAAGGAGAGAGGGCATGTGCGGGGGCAGGTGGGCTGAGGTGGGGATATAGGTGGGAGATATACACAGTGTGGGTTCCAGGGTGCAGGTCTTGAGGTCCGGCAAGGGGCTGGCCCCAGGACAGGGATTCCATGGAGAGTGATGCAGACTGGCTCTTGCCTACATGGAGAAACAATACCCGAGTGTGCACTGTGGCCTGTGGGGGCCGGTTTGGGATGTGGCGTCTGGCGGTGGGGATGAGCGCTGAAGCCCATCTGTGTCTGGCTTCTGTAGGACAGTGGTGGTAACGGGCATCCCCAGCAGCCTCGAGGAGGGAAGTGCCACCTACCCTGGGAGCCAGGCTTGGGAGGCCTTGCTCCCTAGAGTATGAGGAGGCTTTGGGTGTCTGCCAGGGTCCCGTCTAGATCCCAGGTCCTGGTCTGCTGCCTCCCTGTTTCCATGCCGATTCCTATCACCCGAGAGTGATGGTGAGGCACAGGTGTGATTCTTGGTGGCCACAGCTTGGTCTCCAGGAATGCCTGGTGCATCCTTACCCCTTGAAGGGCCTCAGGCTGGGGAGGTAGTCTCTGCACCTCCACCGCCTCCTTGAGGGTTAGGTCCTGCCTTCTGGAGGTGGTTGGGCATATCCAGCACAGGAAGGACACACGTTGAGAGCTCATGAGACAGGGTGTGCATGTGCTCCAGCGTGGGGATTGTGCCCACACTCATGTGCCCTCCCCTACCGGTTCTCCCCAGGGCTGAGGCTCCCAGCGCCATGATGCTCACCTCTGCAGGACCTGAGCGCCTCTGCCTGAGGCCCCAGCCAGCCATGCCACTGCCACATCCAAGCCTGCGGGCATTCCTGCTGCTGCTGCTGCTACTGGGAGGTGTGCAGGCGGTGGCAGGCTCACCCAGGACAGGTGGAGGTCTGCAGCCTCCCTTCCTAACCTTTGCGGCCAGTGACTGGGGCCTCACCCACCTGGTGGTACATGAGCAGACAGGTGAAGTGTACGTGGGCGCAGTGAACCGAATCTACAAGCTATCGGGGAACCTGACCCTGCTGCGGGCCCATGTGACGGGTCCCGTGGAGGACAACGAGAAGTGCTACCCGCCCCCCAGCGTGCAGTCATGCCCACATGGCCTGGGCAGCACCGACAACGTCAATAAACTGCTGTTGCTGGACTACGCGGCCAACCGCCTACTGGCCTGTGGCAGCGCCTCCCAGGGCATCTGCCAGTTCCTGCGGCTGGACGACCTCTTCAAGCTGGGGGAGCCACATCACCGCAAGGAGCACTACCTGTCCAGCGTGCGTGAGGCAGGCAGCATGGCAGGCGTGCTCATCGCTGGGCCGCCGGGCCAGGGCCAGGCCAAGCTCTTTGTGGGCACGCCCATTGATGGCAAGTCCGAGTACTTCCCCACGCTGTCCAGCCGCCGGCTCATGGCCAACGAGGAGGACGCGGACATGTTTGGCTTCGTGTACCAGGACGAGTTTGTGTCGTCACAGCTCAAGATCCCCTCAGACACGCTGTCCAAGTTCCCGGCCTTCGACATCTACTATGTGTACAGCTTCCGCAGCGAGCAGTTTGTCTACTACCTCACCCTGCAGCTGGACACTCAGCTGACCTCGCCGGACGCAGCTGGCGAGCACTTCTTCACCTCCAAGATCGTGCGGCTCTGCGTGGATGACCCCAAGTTCTACTCGTACGTGGAGTTCCCCATCGGCTGTGAGCAGGCAGGGGTGGAGTACCGTCTTGTGCAGGACGCCTACCTGAGCCGGCCTGGCCGCGCCCTGGCCCGCCAGCTGGGTCTGGCCGAGGACGAGGATGTGCTGTTCACCGTGTTCTCCCAGGGCCAGAAGAATCGTGTGAAGCCGCCCAAGGAGTCAGCCCTGTGCCTGTTCACACTCAGGGCCATCAAGGAGAAGATCAAGGAGCGCATCCAGTCCTGCTACCGCGGGGAGGGCAAGCTCTCCCTGCCGTGGCTGCTCAACAAGGAGCTGGGCTGCATCAACTCGGTGAGTGACCTCCACCTAGCCTCTGCCTCAGCCTGTGCTGTGGTGCTGGGCCACTCTGCTGGGGCGTTGGGCCACTCTGCTGGGGCTGCCGTGTTCCTGTGTTTGTGCCCAGAGTGCCAGCCCTGAAATCTGCTCCTAGCATCCAGTGGCTGGGGGGATGGGGTGTGGGACCCACTCACATCACCCACAGCCCCTGTGGGATACTGGCCCTGTGTCTGGTGCAGTGCTGCATGCCCACCTGCTCCGTCATGTTCTCGGGGAATAGGTCGCTGAGACAGAGAGTCACACAGTGCCAGTAAAAGAGTTGGGGCCATGTGTCCCTGGCCGTGGCCTGCCTGCTCTGCCTGCTGGGCAGTGGGAGCGGGGGACACCCTGCTGCGGGCTGTGGTTTGTGCCCTGCAGAGAGGAAGGCCCTTAGGTAGGGCAGCTGAGCCCCATGCTGGGTTCTCCGGCTCCCAAGTGGGAGGAGCCATTGTTTACCCAGGGTAACTCCTTGCTCAGGGTCGAAAGTGAAAGAGCTGGAACTTTGCCTAGGTTGGGACCGCCAGCGTTTACCCTTCAGGCCTCAGCTCTTACTGCCAGGACTTGTTGGGAGTCCAGAGCAAACCCAGCTCCTCCCTGGCTACTATCTTCCCGTCTCTAAACCAGGCAGATACTGGCTTCTCTTCAGGGCCGAGTAGGGTGGTGAGGGTCCCACAGTCCTTCCTCTTCGTGTCCACAGGGAGTGCGGGGCCCAAGTGCTCTCGGCAAGCGCAGTTGTTCACCCTTCCTTGGCTTTCCGAGCATGGCATTTTTCTCCCCACTGTACAGTTGGAGAAACTGAGGCTTGGAAGGGCAGCGTGTTACCTGGGCCCCACACAAGCTGTGGTGTGCTTGCCCCCAAGACTGGGCCTCACCCTTGTCCTTGGGGATGGTTCTCACTGCCCCCCCTCACCTGTCCCTTCTCTCTTCCTCATGGCCTCCATGCCCACCTGGCCCTGGCTTCCTCCTGTCACATGAGCCGCCTATCCCCCATTAAGCCTGCCACACGGGGGCTCAGCAGCCGCTGTCCTGTCCCCAAGCCCCTGCTTGTCCTTGCCCGCTTCTGGGCTCAGCACTGGTGCAGCCCCTCCATGCTGCGCAGCAGTGCCATCTCTGGGATCTTCTCTTGCTATCGATGGCTTCCGTACGTGCTGAGCAGTCCCCTCCCTTTGCCTTTTAGATGTCACCAGTTTTCTCTTGAATTAACGTTTCTGTCTCTACAACTCCCTGGTAGCCACCCCCTCACCAGGACCACAGGTCATGGCCGCTCTGTGGCTCCACCTCACCTCCTTCTGGGCTGCCCTGAGTGGGGCTAATCTATGGTCTTTCTTGCCCCCTTGGGCAAGACTGGGCTGGGGTGCAAGAGAGGTGGCCTGGCCCCAAGCATGTTCACCTGAGTTTCTCTGCAAGACAGACCCAGCAGTCCCTGGTCCCAGGGCTGCATGCTCATCTCTCACGACCCTCAGTGGCCCCCTCCCTGCCAGCTCCACTGTCCCGTTGATAGAGGCCCTGCTGGGAAGCCTGTGCTGGGGAGACAGTGCTCAGAGGGCCATTCTCAACCTGTTCCCCCACAGCCCCTGCAGATCGACGATGACTTCTGTGGGCAGGACTTCAACCAGCCTCTGGGGGGCACAGTCACCATTGAGGGGATGCCCCTGTTCGTGGACAAAGACGATGGCCTGACTGCGGTGGCTGCCTACGACTACCGGGGCCGCACTGTGGTGTTCGCCGGCACACGCAGTGGCCGCATCCGCAAGGTCAGGCCTGGGTGGGCTATGTGGGGATGGGTGGGAGCAAAGGCTGCATCCCAGGATGGGGTACAGTGTTGCCTGGTGATGTGGAAGTCAGATCTGGTGTACGAGAAGGATGGGGCTGTCTCCCTGTGCTGGAGCCCTGCTCCCCTCTGTGCCCACAGTGGGCTGTGTTCTCGACTCCATCAGGGCTGTCCCCCTGAGAGGGTCCCCTGGGTGGTAGTGCGGGCCTGCCGCACAGGAGTCTGTATGGGGCCCAGCAGGCTCTCCAAGGACACATGGTGACCTTGGGGAGGGCTGTGAGTGGGAGATGGGGGTGGGCAGACTGCTTGGACTGGGAGATCCAGTGTCTGCTGAGGCAGCACTCTGCACCCAGTCTCTCCCCTTCACGAGGGGGCAGGGCAAGGGCAGTGCCCCTTGCCTCTGGCTGACACTGCAGGAGCTTGAGGTTGCTTTGGGGGGCCCTGCAGGGAGGGCTGAGTGCTGTAGGTGTGGCTGGCCTGGTCCCTTAGACTCTCTTCTTCCTGTGAACACTGGGCACAGGAGAGCTTCCTGGAAGGGTAGGCTGTCCTGGGGTGGATGCAGGCTATGGGATAACAGCTGTGCTGAGGCCTGGTGCTGTTGTACCCTTAATCCACACATACCCATAGGTAAGGCTGGGCCTGGGGCCAGCAAAGGCCTCGCCAATTCAGCCTTGATGCCATATCAGGAAGGGATCTCCCATTTCTGGTATGGCGGTCACGCTGAGGTGGTATCTTCCACTCACTAAGCTCTGTGGTCTCTGGGAAGCCCCACCCCTGGGCCTTAGCTTCCCCATCTGTGACACACATCCCGTATCAGGACTCTGGGCTACTCATCTGCCACTGGTCTTGGGGCCAGTGGGGGCCCAGTCACTGAGGGCCTCAGGGTGGAGAGTGCCCTGGGGTCCTGCTGGGTAGACTCAAAGCAGCTGAGGCTGAGCACTCGTGTAACTTGGGCACCAGGGTGTATGGGGCAAGTGGCAGGCAGCCCTCGGCCCTCAGGGTTGGGCCTGTGATGTGACCCTGCGGTGCTACTCTCCCCCAGTGTGGCCACACTCTCGTCTGCTCCAGGAGGCACCAGGGGCTGGGGCAGCCTCAGAGATGGGCCAGTGAACTCCTGTGAGTGGGTGTTGGGAGGGGCTGAGAGCCAGGGTACATTCTGCTTGGACATATTTCATAGGACACACCCCCAAACCTGTCACCCAGCCAGAGTTGGGTGAGTGTCCCTTTGGTGTCAGGAAGGCTGGGGTGAGGACAGTCTTCCCCTTGGGGCCAGACTACTCTGCTCTCCTGTGCTCCAGCACCATCTGGGTGGGGGCTTTGGCTGGGGAAGATGGACGCAGCCGTTCCCCTCGTCCTAGTTGGCTGTGCTCCCTGCCTCCTTACCCCAGTCCCACAGAGGGGACACTGCAGCTCAGAGTGTGGAACTATGGAGTTGCATTGGGCCCATTTACTAGAATGGGTTTTGTGGGGCCTGGGATAGCCATAGCTGGGGTCGCCCCCTCCTCTCCCATGCCCTCCCTTCTCCTCCTCTCCCCTTTCCCAGTCCCAAGGAGGGCAGTGGACAGTGGTGTCCAGGCACCTGTCTCCTAGGGACATGGTATTTGAACAGACCTCATGGAACTATTAGGTCTTGCCATGTGGTCCTGGCTGGGTCCCTTCATCTCGGAGCCTAGCATCTTCCTCAGAGCCTTGGGTACCCTCAACTGTCTTCTGGACCCCTGCCCTGGAAACCAGCTCTCTGTCCCCAAACACATCCAGCTGGTGCTACATGCAGCACGAGTGGACACCACCCTTTGGGATGTCAGCTGTGCCAGGGCTACTGGCGTTGGAAACTGTCAGAGAGGCCTGCTACTGCTGCCCCCAAGCCAGTGTCAGTGGGGACCTTCCACCATACCTTCTCACCCTGGTCCACCTGCTGGAAACATCTCTCTCCATCCTGTGCTACTGCTCTCAGTCCTGCCTTCCTCCCCTGGGCCAAACTACAGGTGGTGAGCTGGCAGGTCCCCACACTGCCCTCAGGCCTTGACCCACTATGAAGGACTGACTGCTACCTGCTCACTGGACAGGCCTGGGGTGGGGGGCAGGCAGCAGGCAGAAGAGTTCCTATCCCACTCCTCTGTCAAGTCATCCTGAGGAAGCTTGTATGTACGAATGACAGCAATCCAGGATCCAAGGCCTAGAGCCAGTGTGAAAAGGGCGGTGGATCCTTCTGGACCAGCGCAGTGGGGAGGTCCCCTCCCCTGCTGGCTGCCCAGTACCTCTACCCTCAGAGCCTTGGGACAGGCCTAGGCCCTCAGGCTCCTCTCCCCCCTGAGGCTGGCCCAGGCCTGGCTCTGTGTCTGAGCACAGCAGGCACTGGCACCCCCACCTCCTGCCTCTCCCTGCTATGTGCTGGAGCCTAAGCCCTGGGGACTGCCAACCTGCTGCCTGACCCAGGGGCAAGCCTTCTGTGCTGGCCACTCCCCTTCTTTCCCAGGTCTGGTCCTTCCCTGGCTTTAAAAAGCATCTAGGGAACTCCAAGGACTTTACTGGATAGGGGCCAGGCCCTGCCAAACATGTTGTGTAAAATTGTAGCCGATTAATTTAAGACCTGCCAAGTTCAGCTGTTCAGGGCTGGCTAGGGGTGCCCCTGCCTCCTCCCTTCTCCAGAGCCCTGTCGCCACCTGCCTCACTCCTTCTGGGGTGCCTCTCCCAGCATTCCTCCTGCCCATACCCCCTAGCCTGAGCCCTGTCATAGCTTCTCAGTGGTCCCTAGGGACCTCTGGGCTCTGGCAGTTCTAATGGGTTTGGGTCCTATAGAATCAGCCCAGGTACCCAGTGAGTAGGGAGAGAGTCGGCTGGGGATTCCTGCATGGCACCTCGCCTCACAAAACCCCATGTGCTGCCCCATGGGCAGGCTGGAGGCACCCAGTTCACTCTGCCATGACTGCAGGCTCCCAGGGCAAGCCTTGTCCAGGGCGTCTGCCTAGTGACCATGCCAGGCAGAAACACGACTACATGTGCCCAATCATTTAGTTTTTTAAGAGCATCTGGAAGTCTGTATTTTATGTGGGATCACTTGATTGTTAAACTTTGGCTCCTAATTTACATGTTAAGAAAGTATTATAGACCAATTCTGGTGCGCCTCTGGGTCACCAGTTTGTGGCCCAGACATAGGGAAGAGGCATCATGAGCCCGCCGAGTGCCGGGCCTCAGAGTGGGGCCTAAGAGAGGGCACCCACCTGAGCTGTGGGCTCAAGCACATCGGAGCCTGGCAGCAGGAAGTGACATCAGCCCTAGTGACACCCCAGCCTCCTGGGCCTCCCTGGGAGCTGCTGGCAGGCTCTAGGCAGGCTCAGTCCCCCTGGGGTGGCCCCGACATGCTGTCACGTCAGGCTGCAGCTGCAGTAATGGCTGGGCAGTGAGCCTTGTGCTGTGGCTTAGGCCTGGTGCTGCAGGGCCACTGGCGCCACATGGCTCCTTAGTTCATGAGGGCTTGTGGAGGTGGGCCCTGTACCTTGGGACTCTGATTGCTCACAAGCCCTGAGGGTGAGGTGCAGCCTGAACTCTCAGGAGCAAGGGCCTGCAGGCTGCAGAGCTCCAAGTGTGCATGAGGACCTACGGCTGTCCAGGAAGGGAGCTCTGCATCCTCAGGGCGCTCTGCCTGACCCTCTCCCCACTCAAGACAATTTTTTTCCCTTGAGCCTGTGACTCCTGAGCTCCTAGTTTCCTGCTCTGGGCCTGGGCTTCTAGGTATAAGAGGTACCCTGGAGGTGTGTGCCTCTCTAGAAGTTTCCTGGACACTTCAGATCACTCCACTGGTGCTGCCCCTGCCTCTGGCCTGACCCCAGGGGTGTCATTCTGAGCATCGAGTGGTGCCCACAGATTGAGCACGTGCAGAGCAGTTGGCAGGTGCCCACCCCTGGGGTCGGGTGGGTGGAGCCTGTTCTCAGGTCCCCACTGAGCCTCCCTGTCCAGGGTCTCTGCAACGGGGTGGACAGGGGATATCCTGGGAGAGCCGCCTGAGGCTGGAGGCCGGTGGACGGGTGTGCTGACCTTGGCAGCCCTGGCCCAAGAAAGGCAAGGTTACTCACCCCCATTGAGTTGCTTTTGTGTGTGGGGGCATTGGGGGTCGAATCCACAACTTGTGCTGCAGAGTCCTGTGGTTGCTCTAAGGGGCAGCTGTAGCTTTGGTGCCTCTGGGGAGCTGCCCTGTGCTGGCAGCATGGAGGTCCACTCCCTCCCCCAGGGCGTCCCGTGTCCTGTAGGGTCAGGCTGGGAGGATACCTACAGGTAACACACGTGGAAATAGGCAGTTGAGGGTGTGTCGTGGGAGAACACACTGGGCCCCACCATCCCCAGAGCCCCTCCTGGTGCCACTTTTACCCGGGATGGAGCCCTGGTGCTGGTTCTGCTCTTTCAGAGGTGCGGTCACACCAGGGCTTTCCTCGGACTCCCACTGCTCACGGTCACCAGGGCCCATCCTCACTGTCGTGGCAGCTGTGGTTAATGCCGTGTGTCTGGGCAGGTGTGCTGATATGTGCCTTGCATGTACATGGATGTCGCCCTACATGGCTGTGTCCCGGGCAGTGCTGCCCCACAGGCATCTGCATTTTGGTGAGCACATGCTGCCTCCTTTCTCTTACTCTTGGGTGTAGTTTGTGGGCTGAGTGAGCCACCAGGACACAGGGCACCCTCGTTTGCTCTGTGGGTTTAGCTGGTGCTGTCTCAGCTGCTTACCCAGAGAGCCCCCACCATCACTGCTACTTCCCAGTGCCACTGGGGTCCTGTGGGGCACACGAGGGCTTGGTGAGTCAATACCTCAGTTCTTAGGATAGGAATGACCCTCTCAACATCAGGCCAGCAGAGGCCTTCTGGGCGCCATCCTTCTGAGCATGCCCAGACTCATGGCCAGCCTGGTGGGGCAGCCTGATGTACGCTCACACTGGACAGTCATCTCCCACAGCACACGGGCCTGGAAAATCTGCTGTGAAGGGTGTTTAG